TACTGCTAAACCACTACCGAAAAGACTACAAACGCTGCGCCGGTTAAAATAAAAGCGCCCCGTCAGGTTTTAAATAACTAAATGTTTTGGCTGTCGGTCCAGGTCCGTATGGGACAGCTTCTGGGTCCAGACCTGGACCGCGGTCCGCCTGTTAGTGACCGCTGGACTAATGGGATATTTTTTTATATGTATCACTATTGTATAAACAGTATTACAGTTAATGTTCATGTGAACTTATTTAAAGTTGTAGCTCTGCCCCATGTTTACCCATGAAAATCCAAGACCAAAATTCACATTTTTAACAACTGACCCCATGTAAGTTTTCCTAAAGGCAATTTATAATTTGAAAGTCTGTGGGGAAAAAAATTAGTCATACTTGCTACTTTTAGATGTAATTAATTGTAATTCATATGAACGCTGATTGTAAAAGTGCCTGTTTTATGCCTGACTGTTAGATATTTAATATTGTCCTACATTACCAGTTCCCTTTTTGCAGCATGCAATTGAGATTCAGCCATGCGAACACTGAAGAATTAGAATTCAGGTAGAAACTCACTTGCTTGTAGAATGCCAAATGCCAAAAAAATTACTTGAAGGTGCTCAGGCAGTGAAAATTAAGTGTCCTTATAGAAAAACCTTTTAAAGCAGAAATAACACCTTGCGCCTCACACCTTTGGGACCGGGGTTTGAGTCCCCACACTGGCTCTGTGTGTGGGGTTTGCATGGTCTCCTCATGTCGTCACTGGGTTTCCTCCAGGTACTCCGGTCCCACAGTCTATAAACATACTGACCTGGAACCAGAAATACCAAATTGACCCTCAGTGTGAATCTGTCTGTGTGAATGGTGTGTGAGTGTGCTCTGCCATTGGTTGGTGCCCCATGCTGGATTATTCCAGTGTAGGCTCCAGACCCCCTGCGACCCTGCATAGCACAAGCGCATAAGAAGAAGATGATTGAATGGATATTGCCTTGCATAGACTCACGTATCCGCAAGAATGTACGGATATGTTGTATAATCCTGAAAACCTGACTATTCCTCTTTTGAGGGTCATGTAAAAGACTCACAAAACAAATTCAGAAATCAGCATAAAAAGTACATTTAAAAGATGCCGTCTATTGGCTTCACCCTAATGTTTGGGTATTTAAAGTGCAAATGCACCCCCTATATTTTTGTGGGAAATGTCCTTCTAAAGGGACAGGAAGGGAAGTGCTGTTGGACCACTGGAGCTCAGAGCATGGTCCTGGTCAGTGCTGCTGTAGGGTCAGATGCCATGTGCAGAGTTTTCAGACAGCTGGGTGATGAAGCACTGAAAGTTGCTGTCTCCGATTGGATATTCCCTGCAGCAAGACAAACAGCTTAGCTTAGAGCCTGTTACTTTTTCACTGGTAGTGCTGATGTATTAAAGGTTTAGAATGAGGTTTATTGAACATGTAAGTTCACAGTAGACATGGTGCTTGGAGTGACATTTAACAACCAGAGATGGAGCATAATTTAGAGAACAGAAAAACATAAAACATCTCACAGTCACCTTTCAACCAACATGTTATACTGTAATTTCGACAAGTATGTAGGACATCATTTCACACCTATCCTCCAGTGGTTATTAACGGCAGGCTCTAATGGCTGAGCTTCATTAAGTTTGTCTACTGGAATGACATTTTGGTTGACCCTTCCACATTAGGGGTGCAGGCTCCCTATGATCAGGAAAACCATGCACAATTTTTTGGTTCCCTTGGTGAGCAAATGCGAGTGGAGAAAAGTAAATATACGAGAAATGTGAGATACAAAGATCACTGCGAGATCACTGTGAGATCACAGCGAGATCACTGTGAGATCACAGCGAGATATCACGTGAGAGGCTGATTTATGAGTTACAAAAATTTTTGTGGCTCATCTGCTGGCCTTCGGGTGTCATCTGCGACATTCTCAAAACTCCCCATGACTCTCAAAACATTCCCATTTAATTTCCCAACCCCACGATATATCAAAACCGGGATGCAAAAGGCTGGACTGTACTTACTCGCTGCCATATCTCGTTTTCCTAAACTTTTCACGCTTATATTGAGCATGTTCCAGCTTGAGCAGACGCACAAACGCCATGATTTGCTTGAGCGTCTTGTAGGTCTCCTGTGGGTCATCTATGATGAAGTCGTCGTTTAGCTCCAGCCCGTGGTAGACAGCCTTGCTGCCACATGCCTCTGGAGGCCAGCAAGAAGAGAACTGTTAGCAGATAGCAAAAAAATCTGGCTTTCTAAAATTAAATCTAAAATTTCCAAGGTTTGTTTTTCATACTTTACTTTTCTTGAGAACATACACACACACACACGCACGCACACTCCTGCTGTGCACCTTGCATCTTCTCCAGCCTGTCCATGTATCTGCTGAAGAGGCAGAAGATGCGTTCTGTTTCTCGATCTCCATCAATGTCGAGCTCGATGTTGTCTGGTAGAACTCTGTCACAGAACAGCGATGGCATCTTGTATCGCAACTTCAAAGAATGTTGATCTCTCGTGCAATGGTGTTATTTATTATTTTATTTTTATTTTATTTTTTTAACAATTTCCTTATCTTCACCCAGCTGTGCGTGAAGATGTTTAATTAAAGCAAAAACTTTGCTTTGATTGCAAAGTGAATTAAAGCTAGCTAAATGTGGCTAGCAGACAAATCACTGAGTAATGCAGATTGGTGGACAGGTGTAGGGCAGGTTGGGGGGGGAGGGTGGGACTCAACCCACCCTGTGCAGGGAGTGCATCCTGGAGCAGAGTCTGCAGCCAATCCGCAGCACGGCCAGAGGTCATCGAGGAAGGCCAATGGGTGGTAGGTGCTCAGGCGCTGGCGGTTGGACTGGCTGACTTTGGTGAGGATGTTGATCCAATCACGTGCCTCCACACAGTTAGTGGCTTGAATGTAGAGTGTCCTCTCTGGCTGGATGACCTGAAACATCTATTACCAACAGGCAAAACACAAGGGCTCAATCAAGCAAACCACTGACGATCAAACACTAAGTAGGACATTTTGTTTTTGTGTAAGGTCATGATTCACTCATTCATTTATTTTCTGTAACCGCTCGTCCTATTCGGGGTCGCGGGGGGTCCGGAGCCTATCCCGAAAGCTACTGGTGCAAGGCAGTTACCAACCCAGGATGGGGTACCAACCCATCACAGGGCACACTCACACACCATTATGTCATGATTTCATATCATTATTAACTTGTATAATTATAAAATTATTATTCTTTGCACTTAATGATGTAGTCATAAAAATCTGCTGCCAGTGATCCCATGGACCTATAGTAAGCTACATAAGGATTTGCATAGGGGTGTTAATGCTGTCGTTACTCAGAATTTACTCAGTACTGTCTCTATTGGCTTTTTGTTTGAGTATGGGAAGAGAGTGTTGTGTATCTCTTACTGTGAGTGACAGTAATGCACTTCGGCATTCAGCTCTTACATTCTTCTTGTTAAAAGATTCCTCTTCCAGACGTTCCACTGCGAGGATGTTTTCTACAGGGATGCGGTGGAGCATCCCACTGCCTGAAGGTAACGGGGAGGGATTTAGGGCCAGATGAAGATTAAAAAAAAGCTGCATTACAGTATTTCCAATCAGGCACAGGTTACAGCTATAAATTATACAGGGTTTAAATAGGGAAGTGCAATAAACATCAACTGTACCTTTGTTTTTACGGTATATGAACTCATGGTTAGTGAGACGGAACCATTTCTTCTGAAAACTCTTCAGGCCACAGCATTTCCTACCCCAGGCTCTTTTTCTCATGAACCTTGTTAGAGAGAAATATGATGATTGATGCTCTCGATGGGTTTTACAATAATATCAGTGATATCGCAGCAATACTCAGCTAATGTGGATGAAACGTGGTTGCAGGATTATGGTTACAGAAATCGGCTGCTCACCCTTCTTTCAGCGTCACTGGTGTTTCAATGACATTCTGGTCCCACCTCTGAGAGGATGAGATCAGGTCCAGAAACTGTACAGTGAAAACATGACAGTTACTAAACACTTTACTTATCAAAGGGAGCAGTGGCTTCCACCAAAGGTCTGGATCCAACACATTAGCAGAACTGGATGATCAAACAAACCTTTCTGTACACAATACTGATATCTATACACAAACAGAATCTGGTGTGTCAGAATCAGAAGTTTAGAAAGTTCAAACCTTTGTTCACTTTCACCTCGGTATAGGGTCACAAAACAGACAAATTCCCAAGAGCCATGCAAATTTTATGGGAATTCTCACATTCTTAAAGCATTATGCACCATTTCACCTGCTTGTTTAGGAATATTTATATTCCTTGAGGAATATTTATATACAAATATGTCCCACTGAGGAAAAGATATTTCAAAATAAGTAAAAGCAATGTGATGCCAAGAAACAATTTCTTACTGTCAGAGTTGGGTAATTCAGGTCCAGAAAATAAAAATCCAGACCAGAATTTTGTTTCAACCAACCAGTTGAGCATAAAGAGTCACAGTCACAGAGTCAACTGGTCGGTTGAAACAAAATCTTGGTCTGGACCTGAATTACCCATCTCTGCTTAATGTATCTGAGAAGTTTCAGCCTGGCTGTAGAATACACCATCACACTAATCAGGAAAGTGAATGTGCCTGTTGTGAGGTCTTTCTACTAGTTCTGCCTTTGATACCACTGATCAAACCATTTTATTTTTGACAGATCACAAAACCGTATTTACAGGAAATCTTGCAGGCCTCAGTGGACAATTCCTTGACTTGATTCCCTTTAGGAGACCATAAAAGATAAAAATGTAAAACAAAATTTGAGAGCTGACTTGTACATTCAGCTTGAGTTACTCACATCTTTCACAGCAGCCGTGTATTCCTCCTCACTGAAGTGGTCATAAAAGGCAGCCATGTATGACTCTTTGACGCTGCCCTGCATGCAAACATTAACCAATAAGGTGGCTGAGTCTCCATTTTCACTTTGAAGCCCCATAACTCAAAGACAAACGGCTGCCTTCTCAGTAACTCACAGACTTGGACTTGGAGAGGCTCCCAAGGGTCTGTATGGTCTTGGAAATCAATGTCAGGGTTCGGGAGGTAGAGGGGTCCTGTGGAAACAGCCAAGTCATATTACCTCAAAGTGCTCAAAGACGGCCACCCAGAAGCCGGGCAAAAGAGAGAGAGACTGAAAGGAAATAAGATGGGGAAGGGGGAGGGTTAAAACGAGGAAGACGGGGGGGGGTGAAGGCGGGGGCTACCGAGACACACACTCACCGGGTAGTGAGGCCGAAGCTGGAAAAGGCTGGGGGTGAGAACAGCCGCAGCAAAAAAGCGCAGGTAGATAAAACTGCTGACGGCCGTGTACTGAACGTCCTGATCCCCTGCAGGGCACACAGACATTTTCATTACTACAAAATACACAGTTACATATACCTTACATTCGCCAATATAAACACCAAACTAAGCAGAATCATAATAGCTATATGATATTATATATTAAAATATAAATATGCATGTACATATATATATATATATTTTGTGTGTGTGTGTGTGTGTGTGTGTGTGTGTGTGTGTGTGTTGGCGGCTGGCACCTCCAGGGTTGTGGGTTTGAATCCCAGCCCTGTTTGGTGTGCATGGAGTTTGGATATTCTCCCCATGTTATAAAAATGTTCTTCCACAGTAGAAAT